ACGTATCTTTTCATATTTAATCCCTCTAAATACTTTCATTGTCATAACTACAGTTTGGCAGTGTTTATAATCAAAGAAGGCTGATTACTCTATAGCATAGTTTTCCATTTGTAATAAATAATGTACTGCAGTTGTGTACTGTATTTTGTAGTACATAATAATACTAGGCTATTTCTTCTTCAAGCTTGTCTTCTGTGTTCCTACTGAATATCTACCAAACCATTAACCGCTGTTAGTTTTCCTTTACCATAGATAATTAACCTATAATTAGCTCTTAATATCCATGTGTTAAATTAGAGTAGTAACTTAAAGCTCTGGCCGATGGTGTTTACCTCAACTACAACACACATACACACACACACACACACATACACACACACTCCCCTTCCCCCAAAACCATCCTTTGAATATCTACCAAACCATTAACCGCTGTTAGTTTTCCTTTACCATAGATAATTAACCTATAATTAGCTCTTAATATCCATGTGTTAAATTAGAGTAGTAACTTAAAGCTCTGGCCGATGGTGTTTACCTCAACTACAACACACATACACACACACACACACACACACACACACACTCCCCTTCCCCCAAAACCATCCTTCTCATAGTCTGTAAAGGGCTTTTTCTTGACAGATTGCAGAAAAGCATACTATTTTCTCAAATGATATTATAAAAAAAGACTTTGTAATAAAATCCAACTCAGAAATTACTTTCCTTAGGAAGTTATGCCTGATTCCTTATAGTCAGAATCAATTTGCATCTTCTTTCATGTTTCCAAAGAACTTTATTAGCTTTTTAATTAAAGTAATGATTTTGAATAGCTGCCATATTAACAGTACAAAATCTCAACAGAATTTGCCCCCCAAAGAAATCTTACCCAACTTCTACCCACTTTTCTCCCTCAGCCACCAGTTCTCCTTCCTGGAGGCAAGCAATGTAATCAATTCTTGAGAGATATTCCTCAATATGCAAATTGCATATCGCATATACATATGTATATGTGTGTATATATATGTATATATACACATATATATGTGTTATGTATATGTGTATATATAATATATATGTATACACACACACACACATATATATGGGTATGTGTATATATTCCTTTCTCAGAAAAATAATGTCAGCATTTTATACATACCTTGATTAAAATTTTTTAAGCCTATGTACAGACACATATATAAAACAAATATATATGTCCAGACATATATATATATAAAACAAATATATACCTTAAAGAAAAATTGTATCTGATGAATATCCATATCATGGATATCATGTCAGTATATAGAGGCAACCTTATTCTTTGTTACAGCTGCATACTATTCCATGAGTAGAAGTCCACAGTTCATTTAACCACTCCCTTAATGATGGACATTTGTTACCAATCTTAGCAATTATAGGCAATACTACAGTGAATGACCCAGAAGCAGAATTTCTAGGTGAGAGGATTTGTGCATTTGTAATTCAAACAGAAATTTCCAATCTTCTGTTTCCACCAGGAATACACCACAGTTCTTTACTCTTTCTACATTTACTATGTTTGGAGTCAGTGCCTGCACATTTCAGCTTGCTCAAATTTTGTGCCTTGCTAAGATATGTATGCATGTACAGAGAGAGATGGGTGCTGTCTGCAAAGCCGGGACAACCTCGTTTCCAAGCCATTCCTATCAGGACTGAGGGAGGATTTGAAATTAAGTCATGTTTACCTGAAACAAAACAATGTGATTTGGCCACAGTCTTTGGCATCCCAAGTGCCTACCTTTTCATTCCAATTTTGTTTCTTGACATTCAGTTCTAGGATTCGGAGAACAGAATCAAACAACATTCCAGTCCTCGGATTCAGTTTCAGCTTCCATTTCCAGTTTTTGTCTGCTAACCCTGCCTACTATTCCAGCTCTTCTGCTCAAAATATGGCTTGGGTCATATTTTGGGAGACTGAGTATTTTAAGTTATAGACTTGACTGCGGACATTGAAAAGACTTAAGTAATATCTCAGATCACTAGATTGCTTTACAGTTGAAAAACTTAAATTAGAAAGCTAAAGATTTAAATCAACTTAATGGTATTTTAAGGAGCTTAGTTAAAAACAGGTTTACAGAGAGAACATTTTGTTTAAAACGTGGTCCTAAGACTTTGTGTGCTTCTGCAAGAAAGCTGTTGATTTTGGCTGCAAGAAATTCTTTTTTTTTTTTTAACGCCTACAGCACCTGGTATTCCTAGGTGGTCTCCCATCCAAGTACTTACCAGGTCCGACCTTGCTTAGCTTCCAAGATCAGATGAGATTGGGCATGTTCAGGGCAGCATGACTATAGAAGAAACTTCAAGTCTTAAAGGAGATGTAATACTTTTTGACAAAGACTAAGTATATACTCATATAAAGGCAATTATATTCTTTTTCAGATTATATTTCTTAAAATGCAAAATGTTCTTGCTTCATAAAAAATGTGGCCTTTCACACAGAAGAGTACATTCTCCATTAGCACAATTTACACTGAAACAGTTATTTTTATATACTTAACAAAAGTTAAGCTTATTTTTAAGAAGACCGGAAAGGAAACAGTTTTGTATAATTAAGATAATTCAGCAGTACTAAAATTTGTTCAGATGGAGGGATACCAGTGTTCTTTGATAATCACATGAGAATTTTAATAAAATTTAGTACCTAATGATGAATTGTTCTCAGAACAAACTCTACTTCTAAGAAGATAAAATTGGGTGATACAATTTAGAGGAGTAGTCCAGGTTAAACTCCTCACTCATCTCCTCCCTCAAAATCTTGCCAAATTTCCCTAAAATTCAACCAATTAGAGATTCGTTTAAAGAAGCCAACCTTCCTGGGCAGATTATGAGGGTCAAGGGAGAAAGAAGAGGAAGGTTGCTGTTGGTGCCCCTGGTTAAGTGTGGGTAATTACACGAGTTGTTAGGCTATAACATCTAGTTAAGATACAAGGAAAGTTCAGTGAGGGAGGCTTTTAACGGTGTGAGTCAGGTGAAAGGAGTCTAGAGGAAAACTGACGCAAAGGGCAATTTTGGAAAGGGCTGGCCTGAGGAGGTTCCCTGGCGAAGGAAAGAGGGTGGGAGAAGCAGACACTAATGATTGCCTGGTGTGGGGTAGGGCGTGGGGACCAAAACAAGTGTTTGAGAGGTGCCAAATGAAGGGATCTCCTCCCAGCAAGTGATGTTTAATTAAGAGAGTGGCAGAGGATGCGCCAGCCCCATGACCTGCCTGTGTGGGAGGTAGAAACCTGAGATGTCCAGCAAATAGAGGACGTAGGCACTGAGTTTTACTTATTTAGTTCGCCTGTATTCTTTGAGTACCTGCATATTTTATCAGGAGCTGTGCACCTTCCATTAACCAGAGAAAGGAGAATAATAACGTTCCAGGACAGGAGGAGAGAATCACTTGGTACTTTGTAATAAACTAATAAGAACGTTCTGTGGCAGTGATGAGGGGGCTGACTGAAGGGGAAACAATAATCAGTGGAAAGCCCTGTTCTGAATAAAACCAAAAGCAGCAACTATTCTAGTAGAATAGGGTTTTTATATTTTTGTACACGCATATAGGGTTCTCTAATATGAACTGAATTTTAACTTTAAAGAAAAGCTTTTCTTCTTCCTATTAATAAATGCATGTGCAAATTCATTTTTTCTATCCTGAGACTATATATATATATATCTATCTATATCTATCTATCTATCTATCTATCTATCTATCTATCTATCTATATCTAGATAGATATATATATCTATCTCAAATATAAAGGACAGTTTTCAGGACCACAATTCTTATTGTTTTCATAAAATTATATTACCTTAAAAATACCGTTCTCTTTAAACCATCGTTTACATGTTCAGTGTAATATATTTTATGTTACTTACTAAGTGGTGTCACCCTGTTCACCTTTATATTGTGGAAGAGCACATCATCAATGAATGGGTGAAGAAAATAGCTACCTCTGTAGCTCTTAAAAACTGATGTTTTGTGTATAGCCATTTACTAAGGACTTCTTAAATGTCTTTGAATAAAGTTTTGTAAACTATTTTAAATTTTACTTTTTTTGTTTACCTCAGTGTCCTACTCCCAAGAACTGCTATGAGGTTTGGCTGGTGACACCTGGTGGTTAAAAATAATAATTATATACAACATGCAGCATAACAGGTGATCAGCTTTGCTGGTGGCAGTACTCAGAACCACAGATTCCATGTAAAGAACCACTGTCAGTCAGAGTTTCTGGTTATTAGCAACCAAAATGAAACCTCACTGGCCTGAGCAGCCAAGTGCTGTCCCATGAGGATGACGCTGTCACTTAACATTGGCACCTTAGATATCAGGTTCTGGATGCCTCAGAAGTCACTGCCACTCCTGAACACTGGGATTTGTCACCACTGACACCACCACATTTCAGGCTCTTTGAGTCCCCAAATTTCAATTCAAGATCTAGAATAGGATGCATCTAATTGGCCTGGCCATGGTCACATATCAGCACCCTAGACGGTAAGGAAGGATGGAAAAGCGACTGGACATCTCAGCTTATTTAATAAAATAATAAGAAGTTATTGCAGGATTAAATGAGATGAATATTTACAAAGTACTTAAGCATAGTGCCTAGGGTTTGATGAGTTTTCTAAAAAGATAGTAGCTATTGTTTTACATCTTTATTTGGTAATGAGCTTTATCGAGGGCAAGGACCATATCTTATTCATTTTGTATTCTGGACACAGGGTCTGAATCTCTACGAATGTCAATTGCATTGCTTGCTCCCGAATAGGAACTAGGTTAGTACAGTGGTTTCTATATCTCATTTACTTATAGGCCTCTTTAAGACCTTTAAATAATATATGCTTTAAAAATATAAATATGTAACAATAATAATAATGTTCATCTAATAGTTGAGTCTTTTCCCTCAAAATTACCACTAATGGAAAATTAAATCTCTCCACAGGTCTTCCAAGTGCATTAAAGCTGAAGATAAGATTTTTGTCTTATCATGAAACGATTATCTCAAGGACAAGTAAGGTTTTGTGTTGTTCAGCCAACATGTCTCACATCATGGCTGCTCATATTTCTCTCCTTGAAGTCAATCTCTTCCCTAAAACCTGCTCGACTTCCAGTTCATCAAAGAAAACCTTTTATAGCTGCTTGGAATGCTCCAACAGATCAGTGTTTGATAAAATATAATATAAGACTGAATTTGAAAATGTTTCAGATGATTGGAAGCCCACTGGCCAAGGCCAGGGGGCAAAATGTCACTATATTTTATGTCAACAGATTAGGATACTATCCATGGTACACATCACAGGGGGTTCCCATTAATGGGGGTCTCCCCCAGAACATAAGTTTGCAAGTTCATCTAGAAAAAGCCGACCAAGATATTAATTATTATATCCCTGCTAAAGATTTCAGTGGACTTGCTGTTATAGACTGGGAATATTGGCGACCTCAGTGGGACCGGAACTGGAACACGAAAGATGTCTACAGACAGAAGTCAAGAAAACTTATTTCTGATATGCAAACGAATGTGTCAGCTGCCGATGTTGAATGTTTAGCCAAAGCAACCTTTGAGGAAAGTGCAAAAGCTTTCATGAAGGAAACCATCGAATTGGGAATTAAGAACAGACCCAAGGGCCTTTGGGGTTATTACTTATATCCCGATTGCCACAATTATAATATTTATGCCCCAAACTATACTGGGTCATGCCCAGAAGCGGAAGTTTTGAGGAACAACGAGCTCTCTTGGCTCTGGAACAGCAGTGCTGCTTTATATCCTTCCGTCGGTGTCGGGAAACCTCTTCGAGACAGCGAAAACATTTTGCGCTTCGCGCAGTTTCGGGTGCTTGAATCCATGAGGATCGCCACCATGACACCCCATGATTACGCTCTGCCTGTGTTCGTCTACACAAGGCTAGGCTACAGAGAAGAACCTTTACTTTTCCTTTCTAAGGTAAGACATCCCTTGTCAGCAACAGAGGAATTTCCTCCCTATCTCTAAAAGAGACATTACTTTAATTGTGTTCTTTGAGGAATTCCTAACTAGCGATATGTTAGAAAGGAGCATAATTCTCCCTTTAACTAGTCATCCACTGAGATATTCATTTGTACAAACTGAATTTTGATTATCTTATTATTACTATGCTAAGAAATGAAGTAAGGAAAGAGGAGATAAAAGTGCAATATCAGTAACTACTACTACTTCCTGTTCCCCAACTTTGTCGCGCTCCCTTACAATTGGCCTTTCGGAAAGGTTATTGAAATGGTTGATAGTGGACAGGTTGGAAGATTAGAGAGGATGTCTGAAAATGGAATATTTTGCTCACACACGTGGAAGTGGATTTAAAGGCATTCCTCCTCCTGACTTCACCATCTAAAATGTCAAAAGAAAAAACAAAGATGTTTTCTTTTATACTGTATAATACCAGCTCTGATAAGAAGTATAAGAGAGGCATATATGTGAATATACTTAACATTACTGAACTGTACACTTAGAAATGGCTAAGACACTAAGGTTTATGTTCTGTGGGGGTTTTTTAACCTTAATTATTATTATTATTATTTTTTTTTTAATTAAAGGCATAAAGGAGTGGCAAGCCTGCTAAAAGTAGGTGGGTGAATCTATAGATTTAGCCATCTGGTGTATTCATAACTCTATGACCACAACTAATGGAAAATTGGTAAGAGTGGTACAAGTTTCTAAATTTAATAATAAATTCATCACTAGTTAGTGGTTTTGTAACCCTAGTTAAAACTTACAAATAGAAGTTTTATTCTGTTTATTTTACTTAAGTCATATATGTAGCCAAAGACTTCACACAAACCATGAGAGTAACTTTTAAAATAGATGAACTGTCAACCCAAACTTCCCTCCCTTATTTTCCCTTCGGTACTCCAGTAAATGGCAACTTCTAAAGATGAAAACTTAAAAGCAGATGCTACTCTAATCTTTGGATTTGGGTAATTATGCGTAAACTTTCTATGTTGAGAAGACTTGAGACTTGTTCAGGCCTTCTCATTTACGATACAATGGTGTTTTAAGATATTACTGGATACTATGGGTTTGTCACATTTCTTCTTTCTCCACCACTACAAGTTTCAATTCTCCAGTATGTATTCAGCACATAAATGTATATAGATGTTCTTGGTGTCAGGAATCCAGGGGCAGAGGCTCAGGAAACACTCAGGTGAGGACTCTACCAAAATGGATAAGTATCTGTGGAGCACATAAGGAGTACAACTTACTCCTCAGAGGGAGAAATGGCACAAACGTATCAGGGTTTAGTAAATTCTATGACTTTGGTACTGTTAATGAGATGAGTAAGGAAAAGAAAATCTCTATTGTGAGCTGATATTTGTATTACCTAGAAAAATCAGGAACAAATGATTGAGAATGATAGGACATCAGCACTATCTGGAAAGTACAAAAAAGTTATCTAAATCTTTACAAAATAGTCTTGATTCTGGAATGAAGAGTTAAATATCATCTTCTATGAAACTTATTTTCCTTTTTTTATATTTGGCTCAAACATGTTTCTTTTTTTAGTGATAATAAATTTACTTTTGGAAGAAATGAACTTTAAGAGACAAAGTGTTCACTTCGATAAGATTACTTTAGCATACTAGTACATTCTGCACATTCTTCAAACCTAGGGTAAGCTACTTCCTCAGAAATGCATCAATTCTCTCTAAGAAGAAGCAACAGTTGGGGTCTCATCTAGAAACAGTTTTCTTTGACAGTCCCAAGGTTATAATTCTGTATCATTTTGAAAACTTTCTGAATGGCAAGATGTTTCCAAATGTTTTAAGACATTAGTTTACTCAGCAGCTTACTCTATCTTTCCTAAAAATCTGCCCACAAAGTTTTAAAAACCTGATATTCATTTATACTAACTCATAATTGACTAGTAATGGCTTCCATTCCCAATCTTTCCAAAGATTTCCACATTTTAGAGTCAGGATTAGAAAAAGGATTTATCAATAAGTAGCAAATGTCTTAACATCTCCAGACCTCAATGCCTCGTTGTCTTAATCTACAAATGGGACAGTATTATCTTTCTTACCTACCTAGCAGAAGTATTATGAAATTCAAATGAGAAAATACATATGAAAATTTGAAACACTACAGAAACACAAGTAGTAAAGCTATCACATTTTAACAGGTATCAAAGCCTTAAACTTGAAAGGGAATATCTAAGAATAGAATCTCTTGTCAGCAGCCATAGGTTGAGGGGGTGGGGGGGGGTGATATGGAGGTAGTAACACCTCATTTCACACAAAAGATTTCCTACACTACTAACATATAAATTCGACCTAGAAATAACCTGATGCTATGTTGAAAAATTAACGAAGGAGTTTTCTTGATGTAGATTTAAAAGATTTTTTTTTTTTTTTTTTTTTTTTTACCTGTAATGAATTAATACTCCCTCTTGGTAACACACAAAAGGGAGCTCGTTAGCGATGTTCCAGCTTCCCACCGTGGGCACCTTACTTACAGGCACTGTGGTAGAGTACCAGAGACTGAATGAAACCCAAGTGTAAAGAAAGTCCTCTGGGCGTCCCCACCCTCTACCTCCAAAACCTTAGTTTGAGCTGAGGATCATAGGTGGGGCAAGGCAGCCTTAGACCTGAAAGATTTGTTGGCTATTACTTTCTGGGCTTTTTCTTTATTTCTCCTCAATTATGAATCTAAGAAGAGTTGGTTTTTCAGTTTGTTTAGCTTTTTATTTGTGAAGATGGAGTGGCAACTTCCAAGCTTCCACGATATCCTGGAAACTGGAACTCTCCCATGAACTCCTTTGGATTAAGGCATTGTCATCAGAGGGGGAAGGAGGCACAGTATTTACAGTTTGTATTTATAGGTTATTGATCCATATTAAGTAAGGAAGCTACAGATGTTTGTGGTGAAAGGAACACGTTCTGAGGTTGATATCAAGAGGCAGTGTTCATTTCTTCTCTGTGTCCTTTAATGTCATTTTCAGAGTTTTATTGGGACTTATTCAAAAATGGCAAGTCTTCATGCACAAGCTGACTGGAGAAAAGGAGTCAGTAAAAGATGTTAATGCGAATTTCTGTACCTAGCTGAGAGCAGGGTACTGAATGAATCACAGAGCAGCTATGTTTTGGGGACCAAAAAAGGCAAAGGTACTACTCAGTGAGGTATTACCCAGCCTTTCCCTGCTAAGAGGGGAAAAAAAACAACTGAGAAGCATTTATGAAGTTCTCAGTCCAGGGGCAAAGTCTCACTAAAAGACTGAAACCGAATTATAGGACTATAAAACCTTTCCTCTCCCCTCACACCTTGCTAGTTCATTACTAAAGGCCTATTTATAGCAGTTCTTTTTACCCTGTATGAGCTGTCTGCCAATCAAGAAAAAATAAATCATGTTTACTTATCAAGAAAAAAATTCCAAGACATACTAAAAAGGAAAAGCACAATCTGAAGAGACAGAGGAAGCCTCAGAACCAAACTCAGGTATCTCAGGGACTTTGGAATTATTGGACAAGGATTTAAAACAACTATGATTAATATGCCAAGGGCCCTAGCACATAAAGCAGACGGCATGCAAGAATAGATGGACAATGTAAGCAGAGAGATGGAAATTCTAAGAAAAAAACCAGACAGACATTTTAGAGGTCAAAAACACTGTAACAGAAATAAATATCTTTGATGAGCTTATTAGTAGATTGGACATGGCTGAGGAAAGAATCTTTGAACTTCAGGATATCTTGATAGAAACCTCCAAAACTGAACAGCAAAACAAAGAAAACAAATACTGAAAAAAACAAAAACAAAAACAAACAGTATCCAAGAACTGTGACACAGATGAAAAAGCCGTAACATACACTTAATAGGAATTCACAGAAAGCCATTGGGAGACTTCAGCCCCAAAGCTTTGCTGAATTCGGAGAAGTTTCTAAGTGAGTGGAAGGAGAAGCTCTGCTTTCTTACGTCTTTGCCAAAAGAAGTGACGGACATAGACCCAGCAGAGGCCTCATTCTGGGCACTGCATGGCTGGCTCCTCCTCTGCCCCATATTCATCATAGCGTGGATAATTTTCGAAACCTGTTCACTTCCACTATCTCATTTGAGTCTCACAAAAACCCCCTTCCTATCTTGTTAGCTCTGACCTATTCAGCAGACGCTACGATCATGGGAATGGATGTGAGCTGGAAAGGGAAATTAGTTTAAAACAAATCTCTTCCCTTTTTGAAAATTTTCAGAGAATTACCCAAGAGGGGGAAAAAACTTTAAAAACCGAGGTTGCAAAATCTTTAATTTGAGTGGACTATAAAAATATCAGATAAAGAGATGATATCGCTCAAGTATTGATATTAATATAAAATGCCCGAGGTAAAACATAGTTTAAAGTTCTGCTTTTATTTGTCACCAAATCACCCAATTACATTTTCCAGTATTTAACTGATGGAAGTTCATCCTTGGAGTAAAAGGTGAACGAATGCTTAGTATCCTAAATGTTGGGGGAATCTATTACAATTTAACAAACTTACTTATGAAATCTATTGTAGAAACTTAATTTAGGAAACCAACTGCATACATTCAACTTTTAATTTCTCTTTGAAACGGCCTTTAAACACTAAAGCGATAATCTTTTAGGGTTACAAAAGTAAATTCTTTCAGATGAAATTCAGTTTTCCTCTACCTGGACCATATTGACAAAAATTTCGATTGCCTTGCTGTGACTGGACCTTTAAATAAATATAGAGGACAATCTGGAATGGCCAGATGGGAGGGGGGTGTTATGGGGCTGGGAGAATGGGGTGAAAGGTTAAAGTACAAATTAGTAGTTGATAGATGGTCACGAGGATGGGGAGCACGGCGTAGGGAATGCAGTCAGCATTAATGTAATGGCTAGGTGGAGAGCCAGAGACTAAACTATATAAATGTCTAACCAATGTACTGTATACTTGAAACTAATAAAATAACATTTTTTGAGAAAGTAAATACTTTGAAATTAAACACAAATAATTTCAGGGGTCAAATACAAGGGCTGTACCAAATTAGAGCCAGAATGTCCTTATCACTGTTACTTTGCCTGGCCTTGGAATCCAAATGACACAAAAGCTTCCTAGTCACTACAGAGGTGAAGTTCAGGGGAGTGTGGCAAGCTGGAAATGGAACTTAGCTAAGTAGAATGAGAGCCATGACTCACATTTGGAGAAGAAAAACTTTTGGATTCTGGGTCATATACATATAACTGGTTTGTGTGTATATGACCCTAGCCAACTTCAATTTAACAACTTTCAGTGGCTATTTACAGTCTGTCTTTAAAATAATATCCTGTTTGGCAAAATCAAAGTTTTTCTTTAAAAATATTTAATGTTTTTCCACATGATTATAGAGTGTGATTTTTAGCCTTGGTTCAACCAATATTTGTGTTACTTTAAGAAAGCAGAAAATAGTTTCATCATGTTATATTGAACTCAGCCTTTAATCCTAATTTCTGTTTTTGTCTGTTTTTTTTTTATTTAAATAAATAATGAACCTACTCTCTTCAATGTAGGAAGATCTAATCAGTACCATTGGAGAAAGTGCTGCCTTGGGAGCTGCAGGCATTGTTATTTGGGGAGACATGAATTTAACTTCATCTGAGGTAAGACAGTACCTCAAAGGTAGAGTTAATATTGTTTAAAGTATTTACTCTGTTTTCCTATAGATCTCACTCTAATCAGAGCTCTCATGGCTTCCACAGTAAACCAGTTTTAGAAAAAAAGGTTACAGTGCCTGATACACAGAAGTGCAATAAACTATTAACTTTTGTTGAGATAGTAATAATAATACTGACATTTGCTAAATATTTATTATTCAGAATTGTGCTTAGTGCTTTTTTTGTTTTGATTTGCTCACTTACAACTCACAGTAACTCATGTGAGGTAGGGACTATCATCTTCATTTACAAATGAGGAAGGAAAAGAGGAAATCTAACCAGCATAGCAGCTGGTTAGGCTAGTTAGTTATGGAGCTGGCATTACATTAACCACAGTTTTACTCTGGAGTCCTCGCATTTAACCACTACATAAATATGTGTTATATCCTATTTTGAGAAGTAGAAATAGATGGTAACTTTTTAATCACATTGAGTTTATTTTTCCTCTATGAAGAAATTGGTTGAAAATTAATAGCATTTAAAATAGGATTTGTATATCTCTTCACATTTCTTCCACTTAGATATTATTTACTCCAAGAAGACTTCTTATTTTTCCCCAATCCACATTAATCATACTCTCTTTTGTATCTACAGATGTTGTTTGTTTATATCTCTATAGTATAAGATATTTTGCCTTGAATTATAATACTTGCATCCTCAACACTTTTGTTAAATCGAAGATTTTACAAGTTCATGATGATCTGATATTCTTAGAATTTCATAGCCTCGACTTCTTGCTACTGAGATATTGTTTGTGAAACTATTTGTGACAATAAAAGGTTAAAAGTCTCCTCTGTCCACATAGGAGAATTAGGCAGAAACGGAGAGGATCAGTTCCTGACTCTCCAGGTTAATATTTCTCCTCCAGTCCATGGGGCTCATGAGCATTGTTTCACCCGGAAGCTGACTATACCAGCCAGGTGGCAAACGTGTAATAGTACACACACACACACACACACACACACACAAATGACCTCATCAGTCTTCCGGGCTTTCTTTTGTTTGAATTGTGTACAGAAGGCTAGAACTTGGGGCGGTTGTTATTTGAGCCTAATTAACAAGAAAATCCAGAAGGCTACATGTCAACACAAATGGGTAGAATATGATGATTCAGGTTTTAACACGACCACGAAAGTTACCACAGACCTGAAAGGTGGCTGAAAGACAGCTCTGGCATGATTTTTAACTTGAGTCTGTTGCTCTTTTTTTCACAATCATTAATTTGGGAACGAGGAGGAGGAAAGAAAGAAAAGATGTAAATTGGAAGAAGGCAGGGTTCCATATGCAGACCCTGGGGCCCATTCCAGTTCGGTTGCTTAGCCCTACTGTGACATAGTCTCTATCTCCAGTCCCTTCAACCTGTCACCCTTTCTGATCTGGTCCCCTGTGCTATAGTGGGTGAGCCTGAGAACTAAGCTCTTAGGTTCCAATCAAGTCCAAAGAGCTGTTCTGCTGGCCCAGATGCTCTACCCCTATCAGTACAAGATAAAAAACAACAACACTAAAAGTCATTTGTTTCTACATTTCTAGGGCAACTGTACAAAGGTGAAGCAGTTTGTGAGTGGCGATTTGGGGAGCTACATAGTCAACGTGACCAAAGCTGCCGAGACTTGCAGCCATCACCTCTGTAGGAATAACGGGAGATGCGTAAGGAAGGTGTGGAAAGCTCCGGATTACCTCCACTTGAACCCTGCAAATTACCACATAGAGGCCTCTGAGGACGGAGAAATTGATGTGAAAGGAAAAGCATCGGATATGGACCTGGCAGTGATGGCGGAGAAATTTTCCTGTCATTGTTATCAGGGATACGAAGGGGCTGACTGCAGAGAAATGAGGGCGGCTGATGGCTGCGCTGGGGTTTCCTCTTTTTCCAGCTTACTGGTAACGCTATGTCTGCCAGTTTTAGCAGGTCGTTAAAACTATTGAGTTTAAAGGGAATTGTGTGGTCTCTAGAGCAGGCACTTAGGGAAGAGATGAAACTTATGACTTCTTTTTTCTCCTGTGAAATCCATTGAGACGTAGTATCAGTAGATGCTACGTATGTCACTTCACATACATCATAATATATTACTTTATTTAGCTTCCATTTAGCTAAGAAATCAGATCCAGGGGAAAAATCGATGCACTCTTCTTTCTGACTGGGATGTTTAAGTTGTTTTTAAACTAGAGCTAATATATTTTAGTCTTTATATGAACATAGTATATACATAAAAATATACCTATGAATATTAAATTACTGATTTCAAAGACTGGTTTGTCAGCTACTAGTTTAGTTAAGGACAGCTTACTAAGTAGTTATCTGATTCAATGGACAGAGCGTAACCTGGTCATCTGGCCCACTGAAACGGATCGGATGCAGAGTTCCTGTTTCAGCCTTAGGCTCCAACTAGGCTTCTGCTCCCTGCCTGGGCTCGCTGAGCGAAGAACCAGTTCCTGATGTGGCTTCTTATGAGGATGCAGAGACTCAGACAAGGGGAGCTGTTCCCTACTCTCTGCAAAGGCATCTATTCCAATGTGGTACCCCCTCACCCACTGTGAACCCTTCCCTCACAGACCCTGGCAATTAAATCCTGTGAAAGTCTTCAGGATAATATTAATACTTGTCTAGGCTGACATTGCTTCAGATTTGGAAACTGGAACCATGTTAATAAAAATGCAGTTGGTGTCTTTTGCAAACAAAAACCATTGCTAAATACTTAATACATTTAAGGGACCCAGAAGTGCTATTGAGAAGGGGATCTACCAAGAAATATTCAATATTTTTGGCCCCCATATATTACTTTTGAGAGTGGTTTACAATCAGTTTGAATCTAATTTGAATCATGATTTCACTACTCATCTGGCTGTATAACCCTGGGCATTACTTATATTCCTCGTTTTCTCATCTAAAATTTGGTAATATAATTCCTGTCTCGGTGAATTATTCTGAGGAGTAAATGGAATAACACATCCCATACATACTTTGGCTTTTGATACACGTTGCTAATCTTCAACTATCTTCCTTCGATCATCAAAGTAAAGGAAACACTTAAGATAAAACAATCTTGGGCAATTTTCTCTTTCCGATGTTATATTCTATTTATAATCACTCATGCATTGTGCTCTCTTGAGGGACATGTTCAACCGATAGGATTTCCTTACCCTGGAGACAAACTACTAGGAGATAAACTCAAGATAGGTATGATGCTAGTTACAGAAGGCATGAGAATGAGTCAACCTCCTTTCCGACGCTTTTGTCTTCTATAAATATAGAGCATGCAGTCCAAGCGTGCTCTTTTCAACTCTGGGTCCCTGAGGTTGTCAGAGGTTACTGACATTGTTAAGGTCAATGTCTCAGTGTAAAATATAAACAACAAAAAAAGAAAAGACTGTTATAATACCAGGAATGAGAGGTAGCATTATGTAGATTAACTTTTTAAAAGTTAAGTTTGTTTTTATATCAAATATAACATATCACATTATAGAAAATGTTTTAAATAAAAAAAATGACAAAAGAAATCATCAATAATTACTTTAGCATATACTGATGACTTTTAGTGTATTTCTTCTTAGCATGTCTTCCAAAGATTTTTTTCTTACATGGTTGTAATAATAATATACACATATTTTTGCTTCTTGTGTATTTCACTCAACCATACGTTATGAGTAGTTTTTATACTATTTTGTCATCCTGATAAATATAACTTAAATATCATTTTTAAGGCTACCTAATGTCTACCAACTGAATGTTAACAATTTTCTTAAGTTTTGATTTTCAAATGCCAGCCTTTTCTATTTAGTCACCTCATCAGAGAAGACTTTCCAGATCACCCTCTTAATTCATTTTCACTGGTTAATTAATTTGTACATGAATCAATTTACCAACATTGTTAAGAAGATTTACATCTTATCAGGCATGATTCAAGGCTTTGAAATACATCCTTGAACAAAACAAAGAGCCCTGCCTTCCTGGAACTTACATTCTAGCTGGGGGAGACAGACGTTAAATATACAAATAAGCGATTTATATCAGATGTTAGATCTGCATGGGAAAGATAATAAAGAGCAGGATGGGGAGGGTGGGATTCTCCATGTGATGGGCCTCGTTGAGCAGAAGCTGTTTGAATCAGGGAGAGTTAACCATGAGGACACTTGAGGGAAGGGCACTCCAGGCAAACCAATCATCTGGCGCACGTTTGGTAGTGGGCCTGGTGTTCAAGGAAGAGCAAAGAGGGCACTGGGGCCGGACGCTTCGCTTCACCATCAATTTTTCTCATTTCTTTTGTCTGTAGCATTTATCTGACATATATTATGACATTTATCTGACATGTATACATTGTGCATGTGTTTATTGTCTCTCTTCTCCCACTAGAAAGTAAACCAGGAAAATGAGGACTCATTTTGTCCACTGCTAAAACACTACTTGTTACGTGCCCAGCACATAGTAGGTTCTCAGTAAGTATTTTGAAGGAATCAGTGAGTGATCCAGAAACCCGAATCAATGTGGAACCTATAAATATGCCATAAGGTTTTTTTTTTTTTAAACTCTACATATTAATAGTAAGTTATTCAAAGTCGTTCTCAAACATTATTGTTCTAGTCTTATCCTAGCTTATTAGCCTCTGAAGTCACATAGTTTAATTCTTCTGTGAAAAGCTGAAGCCTGAAGAGAATAAAACAATGGCAAAGTCAAAGAGCCAACTTGTAAAAGAGCCCAGTCTGGAATCTGGGTTGCTAAATATCCTTCCCACCATAACTCTGGTTGTAAAGGAATCCAAATATATTTGTTCAGCTTTTGATTAATAATTTAATGCATTTTTAAATTAATTTGGGCTACTACTTCTGGTTATGTTCAGTTGGCCTCCAGCTCTCCCAGCTGTAGAATCTGTGGACTTAATTTGATTCACTCCTGCTGCTTAGTGTTCTCAGGTCTTAGGACATTTCTAACTTCCCTCTATGGAATCAGCAAGGTCCTCAGCCTCTCTAATCTTCTTTGTCCTCTTTTACAAAAGGGAGATGATAATGGTATCATTTGTCCTTTTATAGAGATTTAATGATATCAATTAGGTGACATATTTAGCATAAAACCTGGCACATAAAAGTACCCTAGAAAATGTCAGCTATTATTATCAAGTACTTTCATTATTGGTCCCCATAAAAGCAGTGATAGGTAATAGTATCTCTATCTTGAAGTATAAGAAATTATGTATGACTCAGAGTATTGAAATGACTTAATGTCACACAGAAGTATCTAGGTCTTCAACCCTTTTCTTCTGAACCTTAAACTAATTGTTTTTTCATTAGATCTCAGCAGAAAATACAGAACACTTATTCGCACCAAATTTCTTTTTTACTGATTTACAGAGAAACATTACCCACAAGTACAGTGATTCTGGTATTAGGCAGTTAGTGTTTTTTTGACCCCATGGAAGAAAAAGTTAAACTAATTAATCAATCTACTAGCATTGTACCCTTAGCTCTCATAATCTAAATATCTAAATATCATTTACCCATAAAAGAAACCAGGGTCTCTTAGGAAAACGTCTGAGTCCAGGCCTAAGACAGGAAATGCATACGGCGAGTCTGAAATATCTTATTATACCATAAAGCAAGGATGCTGCCACAGATCACTTGGATTGTGTCAAAAGTCTCATGAGCCAACTTAGAGTCTCCTATTGACAAAGACTGGAAAATTTGAGAATCACTAAATAAATAAATGTAATGGATTGAAGTGCATCAATTATATTTAAATCCATGTGGTCAAAATGATGCTAAAGAAAAATCTTCGTTGACCACCTTTGAAGAACTTTAAGGAACCAACTCTGAAAACAGGTAAAGAAGGGGAAAGAATCATCCATTTATTATACCTTTCTTCTATGAACTATACCTTCGGGTAACCAAATAGTGGGAGAGGGGAAGCTTCTTCTTATTCAAATCAATGAATGAAGAAGGTATGATAGAATATAACCGTTTTTCAATTCTTAATGAATACATCTAGGCACTGATCCTCAATGGCTGCTCACATCACAAAAATAAATAAATAAATAAATAAAACCAGACATTACATACCACCTAATTGAAGTATGTTAATACCAGCTAAGAATAAATCCTTACAGAAATCAACCCCAAATCTAATCAATCCCTAACAACATGTTAGGGATGTAATGATCAAAATTCAGATCCTAGGGTACTCTACAGGACAAATAACCTGGTTTTATCAACAAATAAATTGAAAAAAAAAAGGAGGAAGAACCCATATGTATATCAACATGGGGCTTATTAAATAAATTACAGTACATTTGTATAAGGGGATAACTTTCAGTTTTAAAAAAGGAGGAAGTTCTCTATGTGCTGATGCCAAAAGATGTCTGAAATATAATCGTCTTGTTTAGATATTATTGTAACTTCTATCTAACTATGTTAAGGAAAATTCAGGAAAATTTTACTAATTATGTTAAGTAAAATTCATTATACATTGGAAATGTATTTCTGATCACATTTTAGAAAGACTTCCTGGAGAAGGCTAACCTAGATTTTCTTAATCATCTACTGGGTATAGAACTCTGAGGGATACAAATACGAAAGCCATAAATAATCAACCAACTAAGTTCAATGAAATGATAATCTCATCAAGGAAAGGGGAACCAAAAGAAGTCATTACTAGGCTATGTACGTCAAATATAAGGTAATATATAGTGCTATCGCTGTTACATTTAGAATATTTGCTTATTCTAAACCTTGAGCATTAGCTCTGTTATATCATTATAATTTAAAATTATAGAATAAAATTTAATAATGGAAAAACATTGTGTCAAAGTGAATATTTGTATTATGGTTCTTGTGTCTACCAGAGAACTAAATATATAAACTTACTGCTTCTTTGTCTTGAAGGCTAATCTTAAGAACTTAGAAAATTTTTAATGTTCATCGTGAGGTCG